TGCTAGTCTCATTGAAAGGTTTGAATTTATGTCAAATCCCACATAGTGTGTAGGGGAGTTCGAAATAATGTCTACAGCGAGGGTTGTTGACAAACATATTATCATCCTGGACACAGACTTCAAAGTGATCAATAATTATCTGCCAAAGCCTGAAGCTGTTATGGAGAACATTTCCTTCGGTTCCAAAATATGGGCGTGTATGTTGGACACTACAATCTTTTGCTTCCATTGTCAATTAGTGTTACAGAATCTAACACTAGCGCTGAAAATGGATCAGTCGGACATGTGGACAACGGAGTGGTGAAGGAGTATGTCAGTGTGCTCGACATTTCTCCCCTTCCCAGGTACAATTTACCTTCAGCAATGGACCAATTTACCAACACATGCAGCTAAATTGAAACTTTTTGATCAATTTTTAGATATTAGTCTAATTATGTCGGAACACCTGTCTGATCAAAACAAAAACACCACGGTTGAAGATTTCAATAGTCTCTTGCTTCATAGTAAAATATACACGTCTACACCGTTTCATAAAAAAGTTATAGCTATTCATCTATAAGGGGTTCAATATACCTGCTCTTCCCCTAATATTGTCAACATTGCTGTTATTAAATAAACTATTGTACTCCATCGCACACATCATTACAATTAGACCCGTTCTGTTATTTTCTTTTAATATTCTTTTTAGCTAGATATTCCATTTATTTATAGAAGTGTGCTTTACAAAAAAATATGGTTTGTAAAACAAGGAACTTGTGATATTAATATTGATTCTTCGAGTGCGACCGTGGCTTAGTTACCGTGAATTGCTAGGTAGGAACAATAATAAATAAGAACTGTTGTGGATGGCCCGTGCTATATATCGATTAAATAAACGATAATCACATTAGGATTGTCTTAATAACATATACTATATATACGTATATATGAAAAGTTAACGATAACTACTCTTAGGTATTAAATACACAAAAATATAAAAGTTTTTGAAAAAAGAACTACATTGTTTGTTGATTACTAGCCTTTCGCTTATTTTGTTAAGCTCTTCAGGTAAACTACATTTAGATAATAGAACAATGACTATGGTGTCATAGTAACACAGTAGTACAAAGAAGGGACATCAATTAAATATCAAATCGATAACTAGGCCTATACGCAATGAAGCTACTACAATTTTGCATTTAAAGCTGGCTGATATTTGTCAATAGAATATGCCTCTTTGGCTTCTAACAAATCATTATTATTGTTATTTAGCTTGTACATTGGAAAAAACGCTACATTTGCAACCACCACAGACATCTATATGTCCGTTAAGTGGGATCATCCTATATTGTGGATTGAATATAATGTTGCCGATGGAGGTTCATCCTTGTCTTTAGCATACTTATAGTTTTTCCAATGTACCGTCTATTACAGCCAGATCAAACGATCATTATATGACATAACTGGTTTTACAGTTCATGGGTTGCTTAATATGAGAAATAATATTTTAAAGGCATTTAGTAAGTGGATAGAGCAATACACAAAAACACATACTTATGAAAAAACAGCTACTTATTTATTTGGGCGATGTTTCGAAGAGTATTCTCTCAACGTTGTCATAGGTATGTGTTTTGTGTATTAATATGAGAAAGTTTGTTATCGGTAATCTGGATTGAGTAGCACTTAATTATTATTTTACGGGTCTTACAATTTATTTCTCCACATTTACTTACCACCGGTGTATCTGGACTACAATCAAATTTTGAAGATGTTAATAATTTAGCTAGATTACGTGGCTGTCTAAGACTGTTAATAATCTTAGTTTTAGACAAATGTTTTGACATAACTTCGCTATTCTTAAGAATATGTAAATTGTTTTTTTTATCAAGGACATTTAGTCACAACATTTAACCCCTCACACAAGACGGGATGTCCTTGATAAATAACAATTAACACATTCTTATCTAAAGTATTATCTAAATGTTGTTTACCTGAAGAGCTTAATAAAATAAGCGAAAGTGCTAGTAATCGACAAATGATGTAGTTCTTTTTTTCAAAATCTTTTATATACTGAGCGCCATGGAAAACGCATCACTTTTTTTCCCAAATATTTTATTACTAGGTGGTTTTGTATGTATAATATTATGCAATACTATGAACTATTGTTTCACACAATGCTCCCAAACGCAAAAAATATCGGCCCGTGTGCACAAAATAAAATTGCACGAGATGCACATGAAAACCCCAATATTCACGTGCAGCATTGTGTGTGAGCCCTTTAAAAGCATGTTTTCAACTTAATGTGCAGTACATGAACTGTGAAACGTCAATCTGTCGTAATTTGTTGTTGGACGTGTGAAGGAATCGAGCTAGAGATGCCGAGACTTACTGAAAATCAACGGAATGAAGCCATGGGAATGTCCCGGGCTGGCATGTCTACACGTGCTATTGCCAGACACTTCAATTGTCATCAGTCCACTATTATAAGGTTGGTGGAACGTGTTCGAGTTACTGGATCAACACGTGACCGTCAACGTCCACAACGCGTTACAACCCAGGCTCAAGACCGCTACATCCAGATCACTCATCTGCGTGACAGATTCCGCCACGCGACTCGAACAGATGCAGCAGTCGTCGGAAGACAAGGACCAGTAAGTGCCAACACCGTAAGACGTCGCCTAAGAGAAGTAGGACTCCGTTCACGACGACCTTATGTTGGAGCTATCCTCAGGGATCATCACCGTCAGCGGCGTTTGCTATGGGCTCAAGGACTGGCAAAGTGTGCTCTTCAGTGATGAGAATCGCTTTCATCTTTATCACGCTGATGGCCGTCAACGTGTGTAGAGACGTCTTGGGGAACGTCTTGCAGACTGCTGCGTCTTCGAAACGAATCGATGGGGTGGGGAGAGTGTAATGGTGTGGGGAGGCTTCACATTTCATCACCGGACCGCCCTACACATTTGCAGGGGTCGCGTTAATGCTGTAGCCTACCGTGATGATGGCCCGTGGAGGACACACGCGCTACTGACATCTGTGTCGTACTTTTGGTTTTGACCCCTCTGACTTTGTACCCTTGATTACAGATTAAACATCCATAAGTGTACAAATGTGTTGTTATTGATGTGTTCCCATTTGAATATTGTTCACAATAAGAAGCAAAATAAATAAGATATGTTTACAGGATAATTTTGTTATACGAAAAACTAAGTGATGCGTTTTCCATGGCGCTCAGTATATTTTCGGTTGTGAAAACGTTAGCATAAATAATGTAGTTTCATTTCGGCAACATAAATTTTACTACATAAATATGTAGTTCGTTTTTTTTCAAACATCTTATATATTAAAATGGCCTGACGATTTGTTTGATAACGATGAAAGTACTAGCCAAAAATTTTAATTTTTAGTGTTTTTCCTCTAATATTTGAATTTTACTTATATGTTTAAATGTTTTATAAATAAACTAGCAGGATACCCGGCTTCGCTTGGGGGTCATAACTCCGAAACCGGAAGTGGTAGACTAACGCCACCTGGCCTATGTTACTCCCCGGTCCGAGCTACCTCTATACCCCAAATTTCAGACTCGGGGCAGACCTAGTGTAGCCGCCAACCCCGAACAGACCGGCTTCGCTCGGGGGTCATAACTCCGAAACCGGAAGTGGTAGACTAACGCCACCTGCCCTATGTTACCCCCCGGTCCGAGCTACCCCTATACCCCAAATTTCAGACTCTGGGCAGACCTAGTGTAGCCGCCAACCCCGAACAGACAGACAGACAGACAGATACCCAGCTTCGCTCGGGGGGTCATAACTCCGAAATCGGAAGTGGTAGACTAACGCCACCTGGCCTATGTTACTCCCCAGTCCAAGCTACCTCTATACCCCAAATTTCAGACTCGGGGCAGACCTAGTGTAGCCGCCAACCCCGAACAGACCGGCTTCGTCGGGGGTCATAACTCCGAAACCGGAAGTGGTAGATTAACGCCACCTGGCCTATGTTACTCCCCGGTCCGAGCTACCCCTATACCCCAAATTTCAGACTCGGGGCAGACCTAGTGTAGCCGCCAACCCCGAACAGACAGACAGACAGACAAACGACAGTCACAAATATATATATATATATATAGATAGATAAATAATACGTCCAGGTAAAAACATTTTTTTATTTCATACTGACATACATTAAATTGTGTGTTCAGCTTCATAACATGAAAATAAAAAAAAATAGTTAAATAGAAATAAATCAAATCTTTCCAACATCAAAAAAGGGAGAGAAGAAAATTGCGAATTCTATTTGAACTCACCGAGTCACCCTATCCTTGATATTCAAAATATGGTTACGGTATTTATTCTATGTAAGATATAATATTGTTAACGATGTAAGCCTACACACCACCATCAATACGGGTGTGGGGTATAATACGGTTTCTAATAGTAAAATTTTCAAATTCTAAATCGAAAGAGAGAAAAGCCATACCTCAGACTCAACTGTCTTTTAATCAATTTAGAGATATACACTAGCGTTGCAAACTGTTTAAGTATGTTACGCTCTAATTATTATTCATAGTGTGTTTAAGTATTACTCTGTACTCAGTCACAATGTGAATCAAAACTCATATATTGTATATCAAACCTTTTTATGCGTTGTATTCATGCCTACAGTATAGATAGTTGGCAAGGTCTTGCATTAATTCAAAATTAAATGTATTCGATTTAAATATGGCATTACATTGTCACTTCTCAGTTTTATCTAGGTTATACCAGCGAATATAAAGTACATTTTAGTCCACGAAAATAAACATATACAATCTAGTTGAAGCAATCTAGGATATAAAACGAGTCGCCTTATCCATAGAGTATGTCTGCGATAATACCTCGGTGGAAGCGGACGTAAAATACAACTAACACACACACATCCATAGAGTCATAACAATTAATATCCAATAACATGCAATGATATTTCAGAATCGCTGAGAATCATCATCTTAGATATATAATAACACTGTAATGAATAGTACAGCTTACCTTGAACTACTCGAATTAGCATTAAAATTCATTCTTCTTTTTCCTATTTCAAAAACTCGTTTAACCTGTATTTCTAGCTATTGTGGGTGACAGCCGGTTCTACAAGTATTCTCGAATAACATTCATGTGACCTATCTTAAGTATACATTTCCACAATAGCGTTGTCTGCTTAGCAAGGTAACATTCAACCATTTGAGAGATTTTGCAGTTGAGGACAGGTAGCGCTATTCTATACAGCCCTACGCAAGTATCGGCTCATTCATTGTACCATAAACGTCTATAGTATAGAAAGCCGTGCCCTTCGAAGATACACAAAGGTTGTTGATGAGCACAATAGTTGTAGGTGGTTATGCCTTAGGCCATTACTATTCATATTTAGTTTCACGAATTCTAGGTAATTGCAAGTCCGACGCGGACGATACAAACAGTGGCATAGTAATAATAGGTATGGGTGACTGTTATGGCTGTGTTATGGGGGAACGGGGGGGGGGGGTAAAGACAATGGAAGGGTTACTAAGGAACAGGCTGCGCTGCGAGTAAATTATATATACGTGTACACGTTTTAAAATAGCAAAACTGCACAAACAATACATCTTGGCCCCATCTTAATGACCTTGCTAATCTTTGTTTGGATTATAAAAGATTTGGCTTAAACAGTCTTTTATTCACTATAATGCAAATTGCCATAAAGGATACAACACACAATGGGCTTGTGAACAATCCTTGCTGTTGGCTTGTTTTATCGGTAAAAGTGAGAATACATTAATATAATGAATGATTTTAGAAACAATTAATGCGAATATCTAGTACACTGTTCAATCGGTTTTTGATGACCCAGTGCACCTTTGCAGAATGTCAAATGCAGTCTGTTTTAGATTTGCATGCAAGTTCTAAATTCGATGCTCCCTTGTCTTTGACAGAAGGGTTAAGCCCCTTTAAAGATCGAGATCCCGTGTGACCCCCGTGATCTCGTCTCCATTCTCTTGGCTTTTAAGGCGGAAAGTCAATTAACTTTTCTTTTTGTTTAAACAACTGCAGGCAGGACAACTGTCGATCATTTTATTCGTCGTTCGTTTCTTGAGTTTATTAAAAAAAAAAATTATAGTTTGTAACTGTTGATTTTAGTGCCGGTGTTTTTATTTGTTCTTTTTAGTATAATTTATTAAATGATATATGAGCCAACAGTTATAAACTATACTTTAAAAAATGTATATATGTAATCATTATAAAAACTTATACCCATACTTTTTCTCGACTCTTTGATGAAAATGAAAGGGTATACACCGATACACGGCCACTTTCCAGGGCCACTCTTGAAAAGTGGCCGTGTATCTGTTTAAAAGGGATAAAAATAACAAAATCATGATTTACATATTTATTTGAACATCTACAACCCGTTTTGAACATGTTATGGTAAAAGAGTCATCATTTTCAACTGTCCAGCACTTTTCGAATGTGCGTCACTCTCAGTCATATTCTTACATTTTGTCTCGCATTTCTTTACATTTTGATATCTAGTCGCACTTTCACATTTTGTCGCACTTTCACATTTTGTCGCGGCTTATGCTCATATGCAGCACATAATCCAAATATTTTACTATTATAAATTAATCTCTTGGCATTTTCAACACTAAACACTCTCACATTTTGTCGCGGTTTATGCTCATCCGCAGCACGTAATCCAAATATATTACTAGTATAAATTAATCCATTGGCATTTTCTACACTACAAACTTGAGAATTCTACAATTCCAACTCGTCTTCATTTAATGGCTGTTCTTGTTTTTGTCTGTCAGTGGATGTCAATACCTCGCGAAGTTAATGAATTGATCTGTGCGGAAATTAGCAAATGCACCTTGCTTATCAAAAAAGTTAAAATCCAATCTTTTGTACTGATCTCGAAGTGTCACCATATTCCTATGCAATTGGTATTTTTCCTCGTGTTTGGCGGAATTCGACTCATATGCATGGCTTTAATTTCTTGTTCTGTGAAGGATCGGGCTTCTAAATTTTCGCGATCATTGACATCTCTTGCAGAACTGATATTCTCGGTCTTAGAAATATATATCTATGACATTATAAAGTAGGATTCTTCGACGAATTCCCGCATTCATTTCTGCCATCCACTACAATCGACGCAGCCAGGATGTTGGCAAAACAACAAGAAATGGCTATTGTACAAAATGATTGGATGACGTTTGCTTTTCTCAACCAGTCAATATCCTTGTTATGAACATTTTCCCTGACCTGATTTAAACCGTGAAATGCACGTGTGGTGTACTGACATCATTTACCTGAGTAGAAATAAGCGTTTCGATGAGATATAATTGGGGGGCTCTGAATGGGAAACTTTGATAAATTTGTGAAATGAAAAATGCTTTTGAAATTGGGAAAAATAGAAAAAATCTCTATTTCTCGAAAAAGTATTTAGTATAAGTCAGTTATATACCTTGTTTTCAAGGTGTATGGGTTGATACACCGTCTCTTTTTTGAGTGGAGATCTCCTCGGCTTCGCCTCGGGGCCCCACTCAAAAAGAGACGGTGTATCAACCCATACACCTTGAAAACAAGGTATATAGCTATTACATAACTGTTAATCTTATTGCCAATGATTTCATTGGGATTTTTAGTATAGTTTATTAATTGATGGATGAGCACAAACATTTCGGGGTGTTTCCACTTTGCCGGCAGGCTTTGATGTCAAATTGTGCTGCTAATCCAGAGTTAATCCTAGAACAATGGTGTTATAAACTATAGTCCATATCTTTTTTAAGAATAAAATTGTATTGATTTTAACAGATTTAACTTTTATTAAATAACATTAAATAATTTACACGTATAAAAATTTAAGAAATTTAACTAACAAATTTAACATTTATTATATAACATTAAATAATTTACACATATAAAAATGTATTGATTTTAACAAATTTATTAAATAACATTAAATAATTTACACATATAAAAATGCATTACAATTTACACATTTTAACTTTCATTAAATAGCATTATATAATTTATAAATAAATGCCTTACAACATAACAATCATTTTACAGCACTACTAAATAGGAAATATTTGTTCCATACTGATTTACACTTAGAGTGCCATTTAATAACTGTGTTTTCAAATGGTCAATTCTTGTATCATGTTGTCGATATTTCTTAACTCGAGGCCTTTTGGTACCACCAAATAATATCTGTGAAATGGTGATTTCGACATAAGATTGTTATTGTTTTATTAAGTTAATGAACTTATAAATATTAGGAGGGATTAAGAGCTCAATAACGCTGAACACTAGTGAACATTTCTTGTGTGACTACTTTTAAACAGAGTATAGTTTTAAGATCAATTAAAGGATTAACAGTCTGCCGGTATAGTGGGGACACACCAACATAACTTATCTATTAATTTTATTTCAAACAAGTTAGTATAGATTATTAATTGATGGATGAGCACAATACATGTAATCATTATCAAAACATAACTTAACTATTAATTTTATTTCAAACAAGTTAACCACAATTGAAAGTTGAGCACAACTTTTATAATAAAATGAACAATTAAATTTCAAACTGTAATCATTAATTGATGGATGGAGCACTATAATGCGCCTATAAATGTAATCATTATCAAAACATTATAACATAACTGTTCATTGTATTACAAACAGGTTAATCACAGAAATAACCACAATTGAAAGTTGAGCATAACTTTCTTATAAAATGGAAAGTAAACTTAGTAAAATAAAATGAAATGTGGTTTTATGGCACGTCAGCTACAACCGGGCTATATTATTATTGCGCCAAACATATGGTGAATATTACGAGACAGGCTAAATTACATCACAGAAAAACATTATAAAACAATATCACAGTAAAATTAAAAATAAAATACAACTTTTATGCATATAAATATTAAATACAAAATGGTTCTATAGGAGCTTGGCCAGTCCCCTAAGAGAGGCTTAATGTGATGAAGTTTGTTTGTGTCTGCAAGATCCCAAGACCGTTGCCAGCGATAATATATAAAAAAGTTAATGGACGATTTAAAATCGGTGGAAGGTAAAAGAAATTGTGATATGGGAAGATCTAAAGCAGACTTGGCAGCTAAGTCTGCTTGATCATTCCCTTTAATATCAGCATTTCTTGAATGGGGGTTGAACATATTATATAAGTGTACTTTGTATGTATTAAGTACTAAGTTGGAGATACGAAGATGATCTAGCTTTTGAAAAGACATATTTGCTGATTGTTGTTGAATATGCTTTGTTGATCGTGTGTTTGAGTTTGTAACTAGGGGCGCTATCATCAATGTCGCTATCATCATAACTTCCTCTCACGTGCAGGTCCCCAGCTGTGATTGTGTTTAAAAACTTCTTGTGTTTTTGTGTTTAGTAATTTAAGAATCGAGAGGTTTATGCATCATAAATGTTATTATGTCACTCGAAAAACCGAGGAAGAGACTTACTTCAGCCTCCAGTATTGCTAACCCCAAAAAGTCGAAAACTTTTGACCTTGAGCTCGGTTTAGAAAACGAACTGGACTTTGAAATGGAGGAAAAATTGATAGATAGATTTCTTGTTGTTCTACAAGATGAGAGAGCAGTGTTTAAGATCGCTAATACACTGGCAAAAATCATAAGGCCCAGGTTGCTGATGCTGTTGTAAAGCTACAGGCCAAAGTAGATCATTTAGAGAAAGAGGTTCGAGAGAAGAACGCCCAAATTAGAGAAATCTATAATAAATGCGACGAGTTGGAACAGTATGGTAGGAGAGAAGGGGTGCGCATATCAGGAATCGTTGAAATACAAGATGAGGACACTGACCAATTGGTGATTGAAGTAGGAAAAATCATTAATGTCCCAATTACCAAACATGACATAAACAGGAGGCATAGGGTAGCCCCCCCCTCCCCCTGAAGCATATGATCCTTTGTCGAAACCCAGATCTATTCTAGTGAGGTTCAGGAATTACTATACAAAACAAGCCTTTATGAAGAACGCAAAAAGACTTAAAGACAAAAGCAGATGTAAATAGTACCGCAAGTAAAGAAACATTGTTAAAGTCCCATGAAACTACTCATGCTGTTGATAAAGATTTGTCACTCATAGCTGATGTAATGAAAAGAAATAACATTTTTATCAATGATGATCTGACAAAACTTAGCTCTACTCTCGCTTTTAAGGCCCGCCAACTATTAAAAGAAAAGAAAATTTCACAAACATGGTGTAGTGATGGGATCATCTTCATAAAAAAAAACCGCGATGGGTCAACTAAGTTAGTGAGAA